TACGTTCATTCTTTGGTTCGACCGTCTAGGTTGATTTTGTGCAATATCGACTTTGGAAGAAACTTTGTATTTTGGGAGACAGACGTCCATAATCCCGTTTGCACGTTGTTGGGGGGCGAAATCTGTCTTAAGGAGATTTGTCTTGGTATACTTCGCTTCATCTTCTACTTTTATTTTTTATTATTTTCTTTGTTATTTTGATTGCGGTAGGCGAATTTCCGACAATATACAGTTTGGACAATGTTAGAATGCAAGACTATTACTACGGAGGGGGATGCAACCTTCGTGCGTACTTTGACAATTAAGTCAAATAGAAAAAATAGATGTGAAGAAAAGTGGTAGAGTTTAGGATATGAATGATTACACATTCCCCAATAGAGGATTTAAGGGGTTTAAAGGAATTAATAAAGTTCTAGGAAAGAGGGGATACCTCCTGGATGTGTTGCTTCCTGCCCATATGCTAATCGTAGATGGGCAGCCGACTTGTCACAACACATACTCTACGTGGGTACTTGATGGGGGTCACTTTCATTTGAGCTCTTTATAGTTTCTCCTTTAATAGCAATTAAGACTGGACAAAACTCTCAAATCAGACTCGATCGGAATTGAATTGAATTGAGCTATTTTTTTTAGTTAAATACCCAAACGAATAGCTGAATCAAGAATCGACGGGTTCAGTTCAGTTTGGTTCTCGATTTCATGCCAATAACGAAAGAACCGAATTTCTCTAATAAGCCAAGTTATTTCTTTTTCTAAATAAATTTGCTAACTAATTAATTTAGCCAAAATTCAAAATATGATTTTTCCTATTTCTAATTGTCAACCCAAGCCCAACTTAATCAAACTGACCTAAATTTTATCAAAATCTCTTATTCTACTCTACATTCTACAGTAGTGTCATTTCTGCTGTTTTAGAAAAATCGAATTGGAAGCTTGACTGCGTCTTTCTTCATTATTATGAGTTCACTATTTTCATCTTCATGTGATTTTAAAAGTCAAATATATGAAAAACTCAATAAAGAGACACAAAAAATATCATGGAATTGGACTAGTTATTTCGTAAGAATGACAATTGAACATGTCATTAGTTTTTTTTTTTTAGGAAAATAGACTTATTCATTAATCAAATCGGCAAGGAGTACATTCGAGATAAATAAAGGCGAGAAATAAGACCATTCAATGGTATCATGAAAGGAACTAGCAGCCTTAGCTAGTATGTGTGCAACTTGATTGGCCGATCTCCTCACCCAACTGAATTTAATGTTTGGCATATCACTTGCGAGGAGTCGACAGTCTTCAATAAGCAGTCCGAAATAGGAATTGTCAACTTTGTTTTGTTGAAGCGCATTATAGACCAAAAGAGCATCCATCTCGATTATTTGGACCTCGGGGAATCGAACTTTTAGCCAAGAAAGAGCCTCGCGAACTCCCAAAACTTCTGCAATAAGTGGATCGGTAATCCCCCTAACCGGAATAACTTTGGCAGCAATAAAAGAGCCCCGGTCATCACGTATCACAAGTCCAAGTCCAGCTCTTTCCTGGTTCTCAAAAATTGCAGCATCAATGTTGATTTTAAGTGAGCCTGCCACAGGTGGGTGCCATTGAACAAAGTCCAGCGTCTGAGGGTTCCGGTTCGGTGTTGTGGCTGGTTGATGGGCTTCACGCCACTGATGCAAAAAGATTTTTGTATTTGCTACGACCTTCAACACAGTATGAGAGCAAGATTGCCAAACCACCTCGTTTCGGTTTATCCAAATGGCCCAGCAAGTCATGCCAACTAGTTCCTGTTCTTGTTTGTTACTTTTTAGTACAAGGTTCAACCAATCTTTGAAACCATCAGTCGAGGGAAAGGAGGGAGTAATCCCCGTTGCATCCCAAACTCTTTGGGCGAACACACAATGAACTAAGTTGTGCAAGACAGATTCATTGTGCTGCAAACATACTGGATAGTGTTTATCAATGTCCACTCTCTTGGCCCTTAAGTGGTCTGCTGTAGGAAGAACTTGTTGTGATGCCCGCCATAGAAAATTGCATACCTTTGCTGGAATTTTAAGATTCCATATAGTGCGCCAAAATCCATCCATAGTGTTTGGGTAGTTCTGGGAGAATTCCAACATCAGCCTTCTATATCCACTTCGAACCGAATAAAGTCCTTTATTATCGTGAACCCAATAAATTCGATCAGCTCTTCCATAAGAGCTCAAGGGAATTTCAAAATTTGTCTTCGTTCTTCTTCACTAAAGAGGTCAACAAGAATATCATAGTCCCACCTATTTTCACCTGGTATAAATAATTGGTTTACCGTTGCTTCCTTAGCCTCTGGGATTGGGTCAGAAGTCACGAAACCATGATCTGGATTAGGCAGCCAAGGATCGCGCCAGATTCTGACAGATGTGCCACTTTCAACACGGAATCGGCATCCATCGCGCAATAGAGGTTGGGCAGCCAATATACTTCTCCATACGTAACTCGGACGATGTCCAAGTTTAGCCTCCAGAAAGGTAGAAGATGGAAAATAACGAGCTTTAAAAACTTGGGCAACTAAGGTTGATAGTTGAGTGATGAGCTTCCAGCCAAGTTTACCAAGTAGAGAAATATTTGTCTCATGTAACCTCCGGAACCCCATACCCCCTTTGGATTTTGGGAGGCATAATTTACCCCAGGAGGCAGGAAGTCCAATTAATTCCTCTTTTGTTTCCTTGGTGCGATTGCCACCAAAACTTGTTCATGATTCGTTCAATTTCCTCACACAGCTGCATCGGAATCAAGAACACACTCATGACATAATTAGGAACAGCTTGTGCAACGGTTTTTAACAAAATTTCTTTACCCGCTCTAGATAAGGACTTCTCTTTCCATCCTTCTACTCGTTGCCACACACGATCTTTAATAAACGCAAAGACCTCCTTCTTATTCCGTCCAATTAAAGATGGTAAGCCAAGGTACTTCTCGTGTCCTTGAAAAGCTTGTATGCCCAAAGCCGATCTAATGTCGTCTTGGCGAGCTAGATCCACGTTCCGACTGAAATAGATAGTAGATTTGTGATAATTTATAGATTGGCCAGATTCTTTTTCATATTGGTTCAGCAGTTCCTTAATTTCATCACACTCCTTCAAGTTGGCTCGGAAGAATAATATACTATCGTCCGCAAAGAAAAGATGGGTAAGAGAAGGGGCATTCCTTGCAATTCGACAACCATGAATAGCCCCTAAAGCCTCCTTGTGTTAAATAAGTTTGGACAAACTTTCTGAACAAATAATGAATAAATAAGGTGATAAAGGGCAGCCTTGACGTAGACCACGCTCAGGGATGATAGGTCCAATTTCGGCTCCCCCATGGATCACATGATACCGAACCGAGGAGACACACAAGAGAACCAGTTCGACCCATCTTTGAGGGAATCCCATATGAGGCATTGCATGCTTCAGGAATTTCCATTCAAGACGGTCGTATGCCTTGCTTATATCGATCTTGAGTGCAGCAAGGCCATGTTTACCTCTTTGTTTCTTTTTCATGCAATGAAGTGCCTCAAAGGCTAGCATAGCATTATCAGTGATGGAGCGACCAGGGATGAACGAACATTGTGTTTGTGAGATAATACCTGGCAGAATATTTTTGAGGCGGTTTGCAAGGGTTTTGGCCACTATCTTGTAAACAACATTGCATAGTGATATAGGCCTAAATTCTTGTATAGTTTCCGGGTTGCCTTTCTTCGGGATGAGAACAATTGATGTATCATTGAAACCCACCGGAAAAGTGCATGTATTTAAAGAATGTAAACACAAAGAGATAACGTCATTACCCACTACATCCCAGAAATTTTGATAGAATATCGGATTCATGTCGTCCGGCCCTGGGCCCTTGTCAGGATGCATATTAAAAATAGCCTTACGAATTTCTGAAGCAGTAAATGCAGCTGTAAGTGACTCCCTTTGAGAAACTGTGATGCATGGTGGCATACCTGAAGCAGCCTGGCCTGGTTCATCGTCCTGAAGTGAGGATTTGAATAGATCATGAAAATATTCAGAAATAATACCATGGATAGTCGACAAATCCGAGGTCCAATTTCCATCTCCGTTCTTTAGTCATTGAAAGTGATTTGTTCTCCGACGTGATGAAGCTGCTTTATGGAAGTACTTTGTGTTTGAGTCGCCCTCTTTAAGCCAAAGTCTCCGAGACCTCTGCTTCCAATATATCTCTTTTTGATGCAAAGCTTTAAAATAATCTGTTTGGGCCTGTCGAGACTGTTGAAGACCAACCGAATCTGTTCTGCTTTGAAGTCGAATTATAAGGGCTCTACATTGTCGTATCTTGACATTCAATTTACGTAAACCGGAACCTCCCCAACATAACAAATCTTCACCACGGTCTTTGATACGGTTTAAAAGAGGTTCACCAACTGATTTGTCCCAACTTGAGTAGATAACTTGCTTGCAATCTTCTTCGCGTAACCACATATTTTCGAAACGGAATCTCCTTGTAGATTGCCAGGGAATTACAGCTACTGGTTGCAAAAATATAGGTGCATGATCAGATGAAAAAAACCCCAGGTTGTTGACTTTAGCGCCCGGGAAAACTTCAGTCCAGTTTGAAGATGTAAAAGCCCGGTCGAGTCTCTCCTCAATCCATCCCGGCGAGCCCCTACTTTTGCACCAAGTAAATTGGTATCCATCCATTCCCAGGTCTGATATTTGGCAATCTTCAATTGCTTCCTTGATTCCGTTAAGTAGCCATGATGGGTGTTGGTGTTGGCCCATCTTTTCATGTTGGAAGAGAAGATCATTAAAATCCCCGAGAACAACCCATGGTAAGGTAGATGAGGATGTGAGGCGTCGTAAGAGGTCCCAACTCTCTCGATGCTTGTTTCGATTGGGAGTGCCATAATAGCCCGTAAGACGCCATTTCGGTTGATCATATATTGTCACTTCCACTTCGATATGAAAACGAGACAACCTAATGAGTGAGGCCATATTTTGTTCCTTCCATAGAAGGGCTAAACCTCCACTGTGCCCTACACAATCGACAACAATGCAACAATCATAATTCAATTTATTTTTTATTGATAGCATTTTTTGCTTACAAGCCAAAGTTTCAATCAAAAAGATAAAATCGGGCTTATTAGTAGTGACTAGGTCTACAAGGACCTGAACTGCCCGTGGGTTGCCCAGTCCACGGCAGTTCCAGCTAAGAATACTCATTTTGATCGGTGGGCCTGCTGAGCAGGGCCCACCGTCACTTCGTTTTTTGGATCCTCATGCATTGGGTCTGTTTCATAAACTGGATTGTTTGAGTTCACTTCCGTACGTGGATCTGTCCTGCGTCTCTTCTGGTCCATAACAACGAGGCTTAAGTTATTAGTGTTGTCCATTCCTTGCATATATTCAGCATGTGTTTTAATGAATAAAGGATTCTCCTTGAATTTAGGCATTAAAGGTGGCAGCTTTTTAGGGATTGGATTGGTTGAAGCAGATTCATGATTCACGCCCTTTCCCTTAATAACTGCTGAGCGATTTTCTCCTTCTTGCATGGAAATTTCCTCATTTATAGCGTCATTAACGTCCTTCCCATATTTAGAACTTGAATCCTCCGCCGACGAACTACAGAGCCACCTCTCGCCGTCTGAAGCAGAAACATTCCGAGATGGAGCTTTTAGGAAAAGACCATAAGGTCTTTCGATCTCCCTACCTTGAGCGTCATATAATTTTTCACAAGAAGAATCTGCATGGCCAATTATTCCGCAAATAAAGCAAAAGGTAGGCAGTTTCTCGTATTTGAATGTAACCCAAATCCATTCGCCCCCTAGCTTCCTTAACTTCATTCTCCTTTTCAATGGGAGGCGCACATCCATGAGAACCCTAATACGTAAAAACGCCTTCCACCCTCCTGAGAAATTATTGGGGTCAGACGAAAGGAAAGCCCCAATATAATTACCAATATGCATTAGAACGTTTTCTGATCGGAAGCCGGCTGGCACGTCACTGGCTTGCACTCAAAAGCTTGTCTCAAATAGGTCAACCCTCATAGGGTTTGCATCATCCGTAAGATGTTTTAGGAGAAGAAGATGCTGATTGAACGTCCATGGGCCATTCTGCAGAACTCGATTCATGTCTAATGCATGGAAGAATTGAAATATGTATTTCCCAGCCCCAATATCCTTGATGCATATCCCTTTCTTCGGCCTCCAAATGGCTGCCATTGTGTTCCGCATTGAAACAAAATGGATAGTACGGTCGGTGAGGAATCGCCCCACCAAGCAGTAACAATAATCCTCATTTTCCTAAGTCACATCATCCCCTTGCAGTTCCACGCCTTGTTCCTCATCCTCCAACGAAAGTTTCACATAACTGTCATCAAGGGCCATTTTCCAGAGGAATGATTTCAAAGTTAGAAAGAGAGGGGGAAATCAAGCTTGTCAAAAGACAAGAAAGAAAAGTTTCTCATAGAGAGAATCCCTTAGTTAAATTAATGTAGCATTGTGTAAATATTTAAAAAATTAATTGATTTTGCTAGTGTTAGATCCAAGCTATAGTTTTCGACCTCTTCCACATTGCGTGAATCAATTTAGGCATAAGATGTTGATTTAGGCGTAAAGTTCATCTACTACACCTTGCC